ATATATTTTATGTTATTTAGGAAATTATAGTATATCAGGTTTTTAGGTGTATCTTTAGCAGTTACTCGGTATCCACTGCTAAACAAGAGTCCTCTAAGAAATTCAAGATATTTACGATTTATAATTTTATTCATAACTATGAAGTAGTTATTATATTCATTTTGTCAAAATTATAGCTGTAACTATATCCATATGATTTCTAAAATACTCCCTCCCTCCAAAACATTCTCTTTTTAATCTTGCATATTATCCATAATATTGGTGAGATTTATCCATTGTCCATCATGTGCTAAGCTGGGTTCCAGCACATGAGGGTTCATATAGTAACAAATAAATGATCTTTCTACTCAAAAGAACTCAAATTGATTGAGGAGAACCTGCATATAGATAAAGAATATGAAAAAAAAAACATCAAGGAAATTGTCCTTGTAAGACTTTTGAACATAAAAAGAGGCCCATAGCTGAATAGTTCCCAAGATTGGAAGGGGAAAAAAAGGCTCCCATGCTGATGTGGAATTCCCATCTAGGCCCACGCCACATCCCCCAATGGCCATTTTTCTCTAAGAAAATCAATGTTTGAGAACAAAAGACATAGTCTAGAATTTGTCCTACTTAGTCATAAAAAGTACGAATGATGTCTACAATAGATTTTTCCAAGTGGCCTGGAATTTGAGTGTCATTTCTTCCTATTATCAATGCTGAGAAACTAACAATGTTTTGTTGACCCCAAATGGATATTTATAAATGTCTGGAAAAAAAAATACAGATGCACACATAGCCAAGTCTATTTGGTAACACTAGGAAATTTCAAATATAACCTGAATAGCATCTGATCGTGGTGCCATAGTGCTGCTGCTGTTTGAAAGCCTCACCATTTATAAGAACATCAATGTCTTATTCATTCTTGACCCTTCTCTTTCATCCTCCACACCCTGGAGTTGGCCAATTCTGTCCAGTCTTCCTCCTTGATTCACACATAAAACTTCCAGGTGGATTTTTCTTAAAATAAAATTCTAACCATAGAAATATTTGAGTCATTTAACCCAACTTCCTCTCTGACTCATTTCACTTAATGATTCATTCATCTCGTTCAGCAAGGACCTATCATGTGCCTACTCTGTGTCAAGCACTGGGCTAGGTGCTGGCAATTCAGGGTGACAGAAGCAGCTGTCAAGTGTTTATATCTATTGAAGCACACATTAATTAGAGAATCTCATAGACACATGTAAAAGTGCAATTCTGACAAGTTCTGCAAAGGTCAGTTTATGGAAGTGCCAATATTGGGGGAACTTACCATAATCAGAAAGGTTCACAAAGTCTTTTCTGAGGAAGTCATAATGTAAGCTGAGACAGAAAGTCCAAGAGGGAAAGGAAAAGGCTTCTAACCCTGGGGAACAACATGTTACAAACACTCTGGTAGGCAGGAAGAACCGAGAAGGCCAGTCTGATGAGAGCACAGAAAATGAGGTGTAAGATACTATGTTATGTCAGAATATGCAGGTTTTTGCAGATGATGTTAATGGCTTTCTTCTTAATTCCAAGAGCAGCAGGGAAGCCACTGAAGCATTTTAAGTGAAGGAAGGGAAATGACTCAATTAGATTTTGTTTGTATGAGATCTCTCTGACTGCATTTGGAGAACGAATGGAACAGGGCACCAGAGTAGACATAATCAATCACTGGGGTGGTTTTGTGATCATCCAGGAGAGGGAGGATGGTTGCTTAAAGTACTCTGCAAGATCTTCTGCATCTTGTCAGGAAGGGAGAAAATAGAGAGCATGGGGGATTCTTCAGATGGCTTTTAGGGGCCAGGAAGTGGCTTACACTTCTCATATTCTGTTAGCATTAGCAAGAACCCAGTCACATGGCTTGTATAACTGCAGAGAGTGTTCAGAAATGTAATTTAGCTGTGTGTGCAGAAGGAAAGGCAGCATGATTTGGTGGGCACACCTGCCCTGTTCTGAAAGTAACACCAGTTTGGTCTCTTTCTCTCTAGAAAGAGATTCCCTATTGCCTACCAAATTTAGCATAGGCTCTTGACGTTTTAAAGCTCTTTTCAGTATAACTCTAGCCTCTCCAGCTAAACCAGTCACTTCCTCCGCCCCACATCCCCCAAGCATACCTTTCCCTTTCCCTCTTCCATGCCTTTATTCAGGTTCTTTATTCTTCCTAGGGCACCCTACATTTCTTATTCTTGAAATCCTATCAGTCATTCAAGGTCCGTTAAGAGATCGCTTATTCTTCATTCCTACAGGTCTGCCTTATGTTAGTGTCCTGTTTACTTACCTTATCACCCCCCCTTCTGACTCCTTGGGCACAAGCAATATGTCATCCATTTTGTGTTACTGACAACCTCTAGGAAATGCTTGCAAGAGTACTCAGTTAAATATTTGTTCAGTTGAGTTGAATAATTTTATTTAA